TTCATCACGAAATAGCTATCGATTTGACTGTGCGCATTAGTCGTACGCATGGAGCTTCCTCATGCAATTGCATAGGTTAGTGCGAACCATAGTATTTTCACACATGCACATATTTTATGCAACAACAAACAAGACCACTAGCTGATCATGATATGAAGTATCCCGAGGGTGGCGAGACCAAATGACCAATAATATGAGACGGTGTATACTCCGCTACGCCCACCTCTGTTCAACAGTGAAATTTTGAGAGAAAAATAAAATAGAATAAATAATAAAAATAATTAAAGAAATAAATAAACAAAATGTGAAAAGCATGGCTACGCCGGACCCGGACCCGGACATTTCCGGACATGGAACCGGACCCGTGTCCGGTAGTTTCCGGACGTTCGGAATTCCGAACATTTCCAAACCTCCGGACATGGGGGATCCGGACGGTCGGGATGTCTGGACAGATCCGGAAATGTCCGGACCATTAAAAAAAAAAAAAAAAAAATCGGAAAAAAAAGTATGTTATGTAGAATAACAATGCAAACCACTTTTGCCATAGAGTCATGCCAGAATTCCTAACCAAACTTGAGTTAAAAGTAAAAAACTATAAAAAGCTTTAAAAAAGACTTAAAAAAGTTAAAAACTACTAAAAGGTAATGAATTATTCATAATAAAAAACTTGGGGTTGTCTAATAATTTAATAAATTATTATAGACAGAGAGCATGTCCGGACCACCCAAAAAAGCATAAACGGGCCTGAAAAACCCCCAAAACAATTTTGGGGGCTTGGCTCCTCAATGGGGAAGGGTCCTGGACCGTTTTTTTCTTTTCTTTTTTTTTCCTCGAAATTTGGCAGACCCGGACCGTCTGGACCGGATGTCTGGAGTCCGGACCGAATCCGGACCGTCTGGACGGCGGTCCGGACGTCCGGATCGTAGCCACGGTGAAAAGAGAAAGAATATTTATTTTTTGGAATTTTCGACACCATTTCCCTACCCCCCATGGGGTCAAGAAAATGCCAAGAGGAAGGAGAGACCAAGATAAGCACACTAAGTTTCAAAATGCCGCAAATTATTAATGTTAGAAAAATAAATAAAAAAACTAGGCTGGTCCCCGGGCCGGCCGGCGGCCTGACCCTCGCCCGGGGGGGGGTGCCGGGCCGCCTGGCCGGTTGTCGCGCCCGGTTGGCCACCGGGCACCCCCAACGCATCACTGTAGGGTAGTTTGTTTTTTTTTTTTCGGCACTGGGCCCTTTTTGCCCCCTTCATAGACCGTGTGGACCGCGAAAAAAAAAAAACGCGGCCGGTAGGCCCGATTTCACCGATTTGAAATCGGGCCCCATCTGGATCGTCGATCTCGAAGATCGACAGCCCAGATTGCATCGATTTCAAATCAGTGGGGAGGGGAACTACCAGCCCCCGTTCCCTCCCCCATGCTGAAGATGTGCCCCGACGTCCCCACTTCCCTGCCTTGCACCACTGTGTGTCCGCCAGCACGACGCGCAACTTCAATGCACGACCCCGCCGTCGCCCCCCAACGGCTGCCTCAACAAGGTAAGGGACTTAGTTTGAGAGAGAGAGAGAGAGAGAGAGAGAGAGAGAGAGAGAGAGAGAGAGAGAGAGAGAGAGAGAGAGAGAGAAATATCTTCTTCTTCTTCTTCTTCTACTCCTTTGCCCCCGTTTCGAGCCCCCCTTCCCGTCGTCCTCCACCAGCCGTCTTCTTCTTCTTCTCCCCCTTCGCTGCTTCAACTTCTTCTTCGGCTCCTTTTTCTTCTTCTTCTTCCCCTCCTCCTCCTCCTCCTCCTCCTCCTCCTCCTCCTCCTCCTCCT